CTGATAAGTGTCATTCAACATTCAATGGTGCAAACGATCATGGGATCAATTTTTAAAACATGATTTCGTTAATGGCTTAAAATATATACCTTTACCAGGCCTATCAGGACCATGCAAAAGAGATATTTCTTGATCGTACCAGAGTCCATTGCGATATTGTACCTCGTTATAAGGTGTCATCCGAAGGACCCGTAACTTTTACTTTCAGAACTCGTTACTTTCGTGGAACGAGTTATATATTGCTTAAACACGGTTGGTATGCTTTCATAACATTTTTATTAAAATACTTATTTAATTTCTAAACGATTCAAATAAAGACATAAGGACACAATACTTCATTAAGTCAAATGCTGGCTGGCTTTTTTTTTCTATTTTTCTCGATCACGACAAGAAGCAGACGATATTTATGTCAGGTCAGCTATGGATGCTCATTCCTCCATGGCACCTGATTCCACCTTATCTTTTTTAGGACCTTGTTTACTTCACTCCAATTTTTTAACTGTTTTAAGGACATTTGAGCTCGAATTCAGATTGTTAAGTCCATATAATTTATACTTACATATTTGCATTTAGAGACATTTTAGCGAAAAAATATTTTTAAAAAATATGCTCTAGTTCCGCGCCGCCTGTACATTCACACCTTCAATTGTTATTGCATGATTTGGTTTTAACGTCTAACTTTGCTTATATACATGTATGTAACAAAATACACCTACAACCTGAAAACACCTGCATCGGATTAGTCTATGAGTTGATTCGATACTTCAGACATGGACATTATATACAGTGGACTTTCAGATATTCTGACACCGGATATGCGGATGCTTAAGTATTTGGACGGTTTTTCACGGGACGGAAATGATCAACATTATATTGACTTGTTTAACTGGTAAGTCAGATATCCGGTCCCTTCTAAAAGGGGACAAGCTATTGTCAAATTACTTCATTAAACAAGAATATTATAAGTAAAATTCCAATACATCATTTATCGCACTTTCTTATGTTTGTCACAGTGATATGACCAACGATATCTGAACTCTCTTTCTGTGTTAAACGCTTAATAACATTTATTCATTTCCCTGTTCCGTGGAATATTTCCGGATACTAAATTTTGTTATTTGTCTCCGTTTACAAAAAAATGTACATGATTTTGCAATTTTTATGTTTGACACAGTAACCTGACAAATGAATGCATCTCTCTTTCTGTGTTAAACGGTTATTTAATTTCATTCATTCCTTTTCTGATCAATATTTATTCTATTTAATTTCTTTTCAAAGTTAACCAGGCCCCAAAACCATAAATGCTGAAATTAAGGACAAAATTTCATATTGATATAACTTTGGAAAGGGAATTTCATTTTTTCCATAAAACTTTCCCATTTTGAATATTTCTTACACAGTTTTGCAAACTTAAAAATTTGTACTTGATCAAGCAGATTGCATTCTAAATTTTGACTATTCATATTCTTTGTCAAAATCAGTTTATGTTTTGGGGCAAGGGGCAACATATCTCAACTTAACACTATAGCTAGAAAAAAAATAATATACTAGTACCTTTGCGGGTCATGATTTGAACAAACTTGCATCTACTCTACCTGAGGATCCTTCTATATAAATATCACCAACCACTGTTTTGCTGTTCCTGAGAAAAGACTACCAGAAGTGTATCCATATTAGTTTCATCTCTCCTGGTCCAGTGGTTCTTTGGAATAGATTTTTTTGAATTTCCTATTAGTTTTTTAAATGTTTCATATACATTTAATTCCCCTTCGAAGAGGGCTTGCGCCTTTATTTGATAATTCAATGTTACAAAATTATATTATACTCAACTCTCTAAGAAACATTTATATAAGCATCCCTGCACAGTAGCATGTTACCTGTAATTCAGCTACTTATTACTCAAATCAATGTTTAGCGTTTAGTGCTCATTAAATTTCATATCAACGGCATAAACTTTCATCACACTCAAATCTAGCATTTCTCAGAGATGGGTAAGGTCTCATCCAGTAGATAAACATAAAACATGGAGAGATAACGGACACAATTAAGACCATTAAACATTACAAAATAGGAACAGAGCAAACTCAGACTTCCAAAACATTGGTGTTTGAATCAGTTGCCATGGAGGAGTGAACAACCACTGCTGATCAAATCTCATACCACCTGATAACTTTTATGGTCAGTTAATTTTTTGATTCAAAAACTCAAATATCAAATGAGTAACTTCGATATCCGGTGATAATTATTGGCCGAAAAGAGTAGCTTCTTAGAGATTGTTTAGGATTGATCCAATATATAATAATGGCTGTATATATGCATTTTGTAGTAATATTAAAAAAAAAACATAATATCTTTGTACAACTTACAATATGTTTTGTTTGTAAGTTGTAACAGATATTTTTTCTGGGCTTTTATTAAACAGTTGAAGTATATCGTTGAGGTAAAGATAATATATACAGAGCACAAATTTCCCGAGGCGTAAATTTTGTCTAAAATGATATACTTTAACTTTTTTATTATACCGATACAAGCAAGAAATTTGAAAAAAAAATTATATTCAATACTGTATTCAGTAACAATGTTAAATTCCAACAGGAAAAGAGTAAAAATACGACAAAACAGACTAAAGTCATGAAAGGAATTCCAATTTATTATATACCCATCAATTTCCTTGTTTTTTGTTATTGTTAATTTTACAGAGTTTGATCCGATTTTCCGGATCACCACACTGTGGTTTTCTGAATCCACATCACCACTCTGAAACTGATGACGTAGTACGCAAAAACATGACTTTATTTTTCTTGCACGTTAAAAAGTCCCTTGTTATTATGCTTTGTTTTATGGATAAATATTATACAATTGATCTCTAAAGTTTTATTCTGCTGTATTTAGCTAGTTATAAGGGGGTATATTATAAATTTATCATCATAACAGTAAGATTGTCGGAAGAGTCTATCACGTCTCGTTGACAGGCGCGGATCAAATCAAACGTTAACTCGACGCTTCGCGTCTCGTTAGATCTACTGATCCGCATGAACTCGACGTGATAATTACCCTTCGGATCAAGTTACTGTTATAATGTATATATTTTATTATCAATAAATCAGTTCATTATCCGAGTTTCTACTTATAAAATAATGAAAGTAATTTTACGCATTATTGACATTTACTAGAAATTTTTGCACACCATTTCTGTTGTCGTTCGCTGCCAGTAAACTGGTTCTTTTTGATTGATATAGGACCAGTTGACGCGATGCATTTCAATTCATTAATGAAAATTCATGGGTTTATTCGGAACATTTTTAAGTTTGTCGTAAGTTGAATGAAAATGTCAAGCGTTCCGAATAGGTGTAATCAGTTCATAAAAAAAGTACTTTTTTTGCAGGGAATCAGTCTCAAACAGTTTTGCAGGGAATCGGTTTATTTACGGTGATTTTCGGGAAATATTCAAAACAAATCGATTTACTTTTATATGGTGAAAAATCAGTAGAGATTTAATAAATAAGTTTAATATAAAGTGATAATCTAGTGATGAACATAACGAAAATGAAATGGCAATCGACATTTCTTTCCGATAAAGTTAAAACATGTGTAAAATCTTAAAAATAAGCAAAATACGAAGTTGCCTTAATGTGTTTTTAAGCGTTTCCCAAGTCTAGAAATATATACTTGGAATGACAGTGCATTGATGTAAATCAATAAGGAGACTGATTGGCTCACTCCTTTAAGCGGTTTGTACCCTTTTAAACAACAAAAACTTCCCTTTCATGTTCTGTCAATGATAAGACTTTTTATTTATCATGATTCTTACAGTCCATTGCCCTTCTAACGAAAGTGAAATAAAAAATAGTTTTTTAAAAGATAAGAAAGACACTTATTTTCAAAACATGTATGTATTTTGTTTCTAAAGGAGCATAGACACAGTTTCAACTGAATTATTTAAACCAATTCTACTATTTATAAGTCCTACTTTGGGCATCATCTAAATGATTGGCAAAATTGTGAACATCATTTGTTGGTTAACAAAGGAGATACAGAACTTAAAGTTCTTTATAATGTAAAAAAGGGTCGTGTATTGTTTTTGTTTCCATATAGAAATATTTATATTTTTATATTTATTACTGTTAACCATTGTGTTATTCGTGTCATCTTTTATTCGCGATTCGGCTATTCAAAATCATACTGCGACAATTTATATTCTCGCCAGAGGAAACGTTCTCTTCAAATACTACTGGAAATTGAATGGTTCGCGTCAATTAATATTCGCAAGTTAGAATAGGTCGCAGAATTCACGATTATTTCCTGCTCGTGAATAATAGTTGGTTTACAGTATAAAATTCTGCAAATCAATATATACTTTGAATGAACATATATTTGTATATAAACCTATATATAACCAAACAAATGACATGGTCCTTGTTTACATAAAGATTTGGAGCTCTAAATTTGTCTTGCATTTCAACAACTCACATTCAAATTCTTGATTATTATTAGAGAGACCCTTGTTGAGTATTTGTAAAAATGAATCATTTTGTGAAAGAATTGATCGCTCTTTCGCAAAAATACTTTGATGCAATCATGTAAAAAAAAACACAAATGGTTTCATAAAATCTTGTGAAAAAAATATTAAGAAATAATGAAAAAATAAATAAATCTACTATTACCAAGTAATGTATAAATGCTAGTTTCAAATAAAAAGGAATTGATAAAATCCGTGAAATACATAATTTTGACAAATTCATCTACTTCTACTCAATCAAATTGGGTCAATTTTATCACAATGAATCAGTTCATGGCAACCTGACATTCAGATAGCAAGTACAAGTGGGCATTATTTCTTTGAGGCTTCCTTGTTCCTTGTTTCAAAGAAAAAAAAACACATCAACGAATGTAAATAATTTATCAGTTTTCCGTCTTTACTGGACTTCGATTGAGTGTTCTAAAAAAGCACCATAGTATAAATAAGGGTAAAAATTTAAGAAATTTAGTAAGTTAGCAAAATGCAAATCAAGGCTTTACTTCTCTACTTCTTAGGTTTGCAATTACTTTATGTAACAAAGGCTGACCACTTTCGGGGAGGCACAATAAGTTGGAAATCAACAGGAAATGGATATGAGGCGTGTCATGTTATATATATATATTATTCACCTTAACGTCTTGCACTTTTGTGTTTTATTTTTGCATTTTTTTTCTTTTTTACGAAAAAAATCAAGGATTTATAATTAATTTAATTCCAGTACATTTTCAATATGTGAACTTTTACTCTTGAATTCTGTAAAAGAAAAGCATAATTTTTAAAGAATCAAATGTTCACACAATAAATACATGTAATACTTAATGTGTGAATTGTATTTTTTTGTTACAGGTCCAGTTTTCCTTTCGACTTGGTTGGAGGTATGGAGCGGGGCCAGGATGCAATACTTCTCGTATAGGACAACTTGTAACTGGAATGAGTACAACGTACTGGCGATGTACATCTGGATGCACTCCAGCTGTAAGCCTTGACAATGTCAATTATATCTGCACTGGTGCTAGTGTGTCTGGAAACTGGGAACAAGGGGAGAGAACTTTTACATATACATTTCCAGGCCCTGGTCCATTCAAAGTTGAGTAAGTCTGTATTTAATCAATCCATATCCATCGTTAAAATTAATATACCTCACAAAAAGATTAGATGTTGTAATATTGAATAAATACCAATGATGGCTAAAAATGATTTCGATTGCTTTCATGCCCTTAAGGTTCACTGGCGGTGCATGGGTGACATTAAGTAATCGACCTGGAGGTAGTTGGTCTATTGGAACAATAGTTAATTTAAAACAAAGAAGTGATACTCACAAACCAAATACTAGCCCAATTACAACAGGAAAACCTATGTATATGTATGTACATATTAAAAATATCAAGACAAGAAACTATATAGACATAATGTTTTTAATAATAGTTTTCTTTGCATAGTTGTTATTTTCAAACATTTTTGATTATTATTAATTTTATATTTGAATGAATTGCGTTATTTTTTTCTCACCAGAGTACAATACAACTGTCAAAGTGACATTCGAATCCCTGTTGCTGATGCCGACGGGGATGACATTCGATGTCGCTGGTCAACTGGAACAGAATGTGCCTCTATATGTAATGCACTGCCTGCTGCTACTATCGATAGTGTAAGATATAACTTTTGTTTGTTTGCATGTTTCAATTATCTTTGCATTGCATGCAATGATTTTACCTAAACTTCTTTTGCAATAGAGAACCTGCACTATTAAATTCCCATCTAATCACACACAAAATGGGATCTTTGCTGTAGCTGTCACAATGGAAGATTTCCCAAAATCGACGATTTCTATTGGTAGTACTGCCTACGGACCGAACACTCCCATATCTTCCGTTACATTACAGGTAATCAGTATAAAATATTTACTTCATAAAATGACTTTTTCCCCTGTTATTGACTAAAATGAAATTTTTCGAGCAAAGACTTGTCAGTTAGAGAGCAAAATGCAGTTGAGCAAAATCTTATTATTTTAGATCCGATATATTGTGCTTCTACAGCAAAGCCTTTTTTATGGGTCCAATATCCCTACGTTCAAGTTATAAAGCTTTTGATTTTCACTCTTAAATACAGAGGAAAGAATTTCATGAGGTAACTTGTATGTAAATAGCAATGATTCCTTTCAGTTTCTTATTAAAACGCCACCACTGTCTGGAAGATGCAACGACAAACCAGTGTTTGTCAGCCCCACTCCATCTGCTGGTACAACCTTACAGACAAACATATTACAAGCATTCCACGTGTCCTTTTATGCTTCAGATAGTAGAAGGTGAATATTATTAAGAAATAAACAACAATGTTAAAAATTCTCTCAAAAATAAACATACTTGATCACGTGATCAAATTCTATGAAGCCCAAAGCTTGAATGTTTTACTCCATAACAGAATTACAAAGATGGACATCACTTCACCTGCCGGTATGACTTATTCATCACTACAGACTGTCTCCTCCAGACCTGGAACATACTTTGTCAGCACTTCCTGGATACCTCAACAGAACCAAGTAGGATCTCACATTGTTTGTGCTCTAGCCGAGGACACGTTTGGGTATTAAGCTTTAATGACAAGTTTTCATATGTATGCATTATGATTAAAAATAACCAACAATTTTTTTTTGTTTAAATTACCTCTTTCATTAAATAGACTAAACATGTTGTATTTATAGCTATGAACATTTAAATTAGATAAGAAAATCAATGGAAATTTTAAATTTGGCAGGAAAACCAGCGAATCAAGGTGCTTAAATATCAACGTAAATGGTAAGTAAATTTGGACCAATCTTTACGATCGTACATTTCATATTGATTTTTTATATTCTTGACAATTTAATATGATATCACGTGTATCAATCACAGACGTGAGTCCGTGTGTGAGTTCTCCTTGTACAAATGGTGGCACGTGTGTACGACAAGGAATCACTCAGAATTACAGGTGTAACTGTTTACCTGGCTACACGGGACACAGGTGTGAAACAGGTTCGTATTATAAAGAAAATACAGATACACAACTATTAACTTATAATCTTAATTAAGAATAAAAAATGAGGAAACAAACATAACCATCATCAGAGATGCTAAAATTGGGGAGAGTTTTTGTCCTTGGTCGAATACATTAGATTTATAAACCATAGCATCATAAATATTTCTGTTATTAAAAGTATAAAAAAAAAAAACTAAGGATACTATTTGGATAAAGTGATAAAATTTTTAAAAGGAATGTTTATGTGGAGTTTATTATTATTACCCCCCAAAAAAATGACCGACACAGTTTGCCATACAGGTAGCTACTTCTATTTTAGTTAAAAAAACATAAGGAAATGTATTTTGTCTGCTGACCAGGCTGTCTTTTATTTCAAACAGATATTGATGAATGTGCCAGCTCTCCTTGTCAGAACAATGGCTCATGTATTGATGAGATTAATCAGTTCCAGTGCTCATGTGTTCCGGGTTTTACTGGCTCCGTTTGTGAAATGGGTAATCTTTTTACTTTTGTTCAAACACTGTTTGTTTGTCTTATGTCTTTTAAAGATTTGTGGGGAATCACATCATTTTTTTTAGGTTTAAAATGTTTTGTTCTGTTTCCAGATATCAATGAGTGTGCCAGTAACCCGTGTATGAATTCGGGTACCTGTAACGATCTCATTAACCAGTTCACTTGTTCTTGTCGAGCGGGGTATACAGGGACAATATGTGACATAGGTATGAATATAAACAAACTTAGATAAAAACTCAAAACAAGAACAAAAAATAACAAAAAATATGTGGAGAAAAATTTATTGAAAACAGATAATTTTATTCAAATGTGTTTCAAAACATACATTATGATTTCATTCCTACAAATTAAAAAAAAAGCATGCATTTTTTTTATCATACAGATATAAATGAATGTGCGCCAGATCCCTGCATTGTTATTTTTGACTGTGAAGATCGTGTGAACGAATATTACTGCAGGATAAACAAATGGAAACTTGCTATCATCATTTGTAGTATTCTTTTTGTAAATCTGACGGTTATTTCTATTGTCATTTACCTATCAAAAAGACGAAAGTACAGAGATGTCGACCATTCTTGGTAAGACATCTTTCTTGTTTCGTATCCCAATGAATTAAAATCAAGCAAAATAGTTATGAATACTTACGCGCAAACTTTTATTGTCAACTGTTTCATATAGGTTGTCCAGTTTCATTGACGTTCGTAAACCCGATATCCAGCCTAGGGTTTTGTAAGTATAAAATACTTGAATTCTTTAGAGTATTGCTGAGGCATTATATTCATTAATAGTGTTGAATTTTTTCAATACTTTATTTCAGATTCAGAAGTGACATTCCATTTAAAAGATTCTAAATAAGGAAGTCAGTCACCCAATTATTAGAAGACTAACAGAGTCGACACAAATTTAAAAAGACTCCTACTAGCTAATTTTGATACATATTATAAATTATGTTTTAAATGCTATTTACAAAATGTTTTTATTCTGTTATACGAATAGTTGTTGATTAAAAAAATAAACTGACAAACATTTTTTTTTAAATTCAGTGATATCAGTTTAATATGAAAAAATATTCGAACTATTAAACACAAAATTAAGAAAAGAAAACTAATCAAGCCTAAAAAGCCATTGAAATACTACAAAAATTGAGAAGAGAAAATAGAAAGACAGAAAACATCAGGTGAAGAATCAGCTTCCATGAAGAAGTAATCATCCTCTGCAAAACCGCTTATTGTCATTACCGAGCAAACAATAAAAGATATTGCTACGTAAATAAGGGGAGATGATGATAATATGATTATGCTAAACGCCATTCCTTTTATCCTCAAGTTGATGTTAGGTTACCATTCAGTACTTTTGTTATAAAAAATCATTTTTACCCCAGAAATATGACTAAAATATTGCTGACTAGATTTACCTTAACAATTAATTAGTCATTTCAAGTTTATATAGATGAATATGTCTAGGCTACATGGATATGTTTAGTGTTTACCTTAACAATTAAATAGTCATTTCAAGTTTAGATGGATATGTCTAGGTTATATAAGAATCGGAATATCAAGAACTTGGCAAGATACCTGGACTTTACGTAAAGAGGTTCTTAACGAAAAGTTTCATTTGAATACAGAAATAAGTATGCAAGTTTAGAAGCACAAATGATAATTATATTTATGCCTGCCTGCCAAAATTCAGTATAAGAAGAAGAGTCAACTACCATATAAAGAACAAAAATGGTCATTTATTAAGGAGTACAAACCATAAGAAGTTCACAATACATAAAAGCATATAAAAAATCATCAAAGACGTTACACAAAAATGATGTGACAGGTACAAAAAAATTTAACACCCCTTCAATAAATGACAATAAATCAAAAACCATATATGTACACAAAATACTTCAAAACTATCACACATTTGTATCCTGAGAAATGGACTGACTAGTAAAATTATTATGCAACAAAATTTTGGCCATTGAAAGGACTAGATTATACAGTATGATCTAAACAAAGCAGTGATATGGGGTGTTCATCTGCCCCAACAAATGGTAGTAATAAAACAAGGTGGAGGGGAGGGTGGTGGCAGACAGTGAAAATATTGTGGATGTTTACATAATGTAGAATGACTGCGCATGCGCTAACCAGCTAATATGCATAATGTAAAAGTGCGCATGCGTGAACTAAAAACACCTAAATATCATGCTAAAGGCAATGTAAACAAAAACATGTGTCCTTGTCATCATGCATAGACTATTTATTGACATAAATTTGTTTATGCCTGCCTGCCCAAATTCAGTATAAGAAGAAGAGTCAACTACCATATAAAGAATAAAAATGGTCATAAAAAAACATTAAAGACGTTACACAAAAATGATGTGACAGGTACAAAAAATCCAACACTCCTTCAATAAATGACAATAAATCAAAAACCATAAATGTACCCAAAATGCTACAAAACTATCACACATTTGTATCCTGTCCACAAGTTTGTCTTAAACTTTGATCCTAAAATCTAAATAGATATTGTCTTTCTGTGCCCTAAACATCTTGTAGTCATCATTTTCAAAGAACATGTACTTGTGTTTACAATCAGTATGGTTTCCTCGCTTGTTGTTTAACGTCCCTCTCAAGAATTCTTTACTCATATGGAGACGCCATCACTTGCTGGTGGATAGCTGCAAATTTTGTCCTATACTCAACATTTAGGGCCATTTAGCAGAGAAGGATCTTTTTCGGAACAAACTTTCTGCAACAGGGGACCTCGGCTTATAATTCCCATTCGAAGGACTGGTCTCCAAGTCCCAGAGTACAATTTGAAACAGCGACATAAGAATCAACTTCTTACTTTGCAACTCTAGAGCAGATGCAATTGCAACACGGGGGCGACAACAATCATTAGGTGTTTAAAAAAAAAATTAAAAAGTGATCAAAACATAAGTAAAACAACTCATTGAAAATGAATGTGTTTAGAAATAGTACGGTGAATGATTAAATATAGTGTAGAAAATTCGTGTCTTTTGATGTTATTGATTTTTTTTAAATGTTAGGGTTTCAAAATGTTTCAAACTCCTTTAAAGTTTGAAATAATCACATGATTTACACCACTTCTAAAATACATTGTTGAATATTTAGATATGAAGTAAAGATAGGGTTTATTTTGGTAGAACAATTATTTGAATGCACATCATATTTATATTAATATTTCTCTGTAGTTAAAAAAAACCATTTAAAGTGAAAGTCAAACATTTTAAACTTAATCAATAACTTTATCTAGATCTTTTTTAGTGAAATTGGGGAAATTGAATTTTACCTTTACCATACGAGGGTACTTAAACACATGAGCAAAGATTGTTTTAAAACTTAAATACATTAGATAAAAGTACAAAAAATGTACATGAAAAAAATAAAATTATGACACGTGAATTTCTTAAAGAGCTGTGAAATTAATTTTACATTACGGTTTGTAAGTTGTAAAGTCTATGATATTCTCCGCATCCAAAAGGATAACTTTAATCCGTTGTTTACTCGCTGTTCACAGATTTGAACTGTTTATAGACATGATAGAGTTCACTTAGATTATCACTGTTTGTTATCTTCACATTTTATCATGTTAAGGGCACCCACTCGTCAAAGTATATTATGTCTGCTTTTAAAACATTTCTTTAAATTTTTATTTTGTAAGAATGTTTTTTTTCTTATTTTGTATGCCTTATTTTTTGTTAATCAACAGGTTTATTGCTGATAGCAGGAATATAAGAAAACAAGATGTGTTTGTGAAACACTGATGCCCCTGTATGATAACATAGTTAAGATTAAACTTTCTTAGATGCAAAGTTAATATATTAGTACCCAAATTAGGGTCTCCTGACTGGAAATACAATTGTAAAACATGAAAGCCCTATCACGATCTGTTCCCAATTTATGGCCAGGCTAAAGTTTTTTCATAAGGACATAAATCTTCAAGATCGTGGTCAGTAAGTCAAGATTATAGGTATCCAATGAAAGGTTTTTCCACAAAGATTTGAAGTATACAAGTCCTTACAATTCAAAAGATATGGGCAATGTTAAAAAGATTTTTATAGTACGTAAAACTCCAAGATTAAGGTCAGAATGTCAATGTTATTCGTATTGAGTGAAAGGTCTTGACAAAAGAATTACATATGTGAAGTATGAAAGCCCTTGCCCTTACTCTTCAAAAGTTATTGCCAAGGTTAATGTTTTTCATAAGTCCGGATATCTCCAAGGTCAAGGTGAAAAGGTCAGGATTAATGATATCCAATAAATGCTCTTGCTACAAATAATACATATGTAAAGTATGGAAGCTCTAGTCTAGTTCAAAAGTTATTGCCAAGGTTAAGATTTTTCAAAAGTAGGTCAAACTCTAAGCTCAAGTTCAAAAGGTCAAAGGTTTCGATATCAAATGATAGGTCTGTCACAAGAATTAAATATGTAAAGTATGAAAGCAATAGCTCTTACCCTTTAAAAGATATTTTCAAGGTTTATTTTTTGTTTTGAAGTAGGTCAAACTCCAAGGCCAAGGTCAAAGTGCCAAAGCTCTTGGTATCCAATGAAGCATCTTCTTACAAAGATTAGATATATGAAGTATGAAAGCTCTAGCCCTTACCGTTCAAAAGTTATAGCAAAGGATAATTTTTTTTTCATTAGTAAGGTCAAGGTCAAAAGGTCAAGGTTGCTGGTATCCAGTAAAAGGTCTTGCAACAAAGAATATGTATGTGAAGTATAAATGCCCTGGTATCTAAAGTTCAAATGTTTTGGCCAAAGAAAAAAGAACAAAGTACGTTCTTGCCTATATGCGGCCGAGAAATTTTACTATTTTTAAACTACCATAATTTATGCAAGTCCCTTATGTTTCGTTTACAACAAGATCAAAGCTAAACTCAACTTATATAAAAATGACGTAATATATTACAGTGACGTCATGATACCACACCAAACAGCGGTTGTTCAGTGAAATCCGTTCATTTTTCATGAAAAATCAGTAAATGTTGATGAAATTAAATATGTTCATTTAACATCAAGCATTTACCACCTTGATTTGTGTATAAAAAAATTGGTTAAAAATCTCCGTCCAGTATTAAATTCGTGTCGGTTAATGAGTGGGAACAGTATTCATTTCTTATAAATAGTAAGTACGGAAAACTTTACAAATATACTTAGTATTACAAGTATAATTAAAAAAACGAGTATAACTTATGTACCACGGGTAAATTCTGTTTAGTGTCGCTAAATCAAATACTGGTTAGAGTACCAAGATTCATGAACAACACATGCAACATCGTCAAGACAGTCCATCCGGTCCTACGGAAAAGTGAATGTCAACAGCTCCTGAAATTCTCTCTCTCTCTTTTTTTTTTTTTTTTTTTGCATTATCTCTGAAAAAAAAATATCTTTATGACAGGTTTGGATTAATTTCAAGTGTTATAGCTACCATCATTTATTATTCTCCGCTTTTCATAACCTCAAATTTCGAAAAAATATACAGGATGTTCACATATAGGTAAGTAACGGTGTATTTAATAAGATATTTGAGGTGGCTCGAACTCCTGGAAAAAAATCATGGGTAGTTGTTTTGTGTCCTATGCAGGCAGTCGGATGATTCGCTATGCATTATATATTCATGTAAAATACTGTCAATCCTACCCCAATCTCTGCCATGGCCCAAATGATGAAATGTAAACTTAATTGCAAATGAAATTCTTAAAATATCTTTGAATGGATTGATTTCTATTTTACAGACAATCGCACGTCGTTTTAATACATATAGGAGCTTTGTATGACGCAAGAGAGACATGTACGTTATTGACGTAGTCTAGCAAAATGAACGTCGGGACTAACGTTACCTCCACTTAAACAAAATTTTTTATCATAATTTGCGATGTGTTACACGTAATTAGATTAAAACAAGTTATATATTAGGTATCAACTTTTGAGTGCGATAAAC